GGGATCTTAAAAGAAGTCAGCGTCAATGGATGACGAGATAAACGCCGCCTTACCCCGAATTCCATGCTGACTTTGTGGTGTTCCGAACGCGTTTCGTCCAAGATAAACTGAGGTTCGACGGGGAGACGACGTTACTCAGTCGCCAAGGACCGCACAGAGGCTGAGCTGGATGATGGTGGTAAGAAGAAAAATGATCGGCCGAGTCTCAGCTTCTTACCATCACCATCACTGCCCTTCCTCTTTCTTCCCGTCAACCAAGGGGCACCGACAGAGCTAGATGTGATGTGCTACCGATGTTAATTGCTGTTAGGAGGAACATTGACCACAAAAATACGCCGACACTGTAACTCAAAAACCTTTGCTCTGCTCTCTGCCGAGGTTCAGCTTGGACTTGGAAAAACTATCATCGACGTTCGGAAGGAGCGATAGGCGCACATTTTAATGTATGAAAAAGATCGTCAAAGGTGCGGATGATGCCTATGCTAAGCATGGCTCTGTGCTGATTCTCATTGTCCTCGTAGGCTCATCTCATCGGCTGTTGTTCTCGAAATGCCTCTATACCGCCAGAAAATACTCCTGGGTTCATGCAGGATTCCAATCCGTTGAGGGGTCGGTAAATGGCTTAGGTTTGTTCTGCCGCCACTGGTTCTGTCTTCCGTGCAGTGATTCTCTGGCTGTTATGATTTTGCCAAGGATGGTCATGGCCCCCAGTTCTTCTGTGGTCTATACCCGTGTGGCCAGACATGGATAGAGCTATGAGATCCCAAGGCTTTCTCGCAAACTTCCCCAAGGCTGCTGAGTGGTTATGTGCACTCCAAACTCCGATATCTCGCCTTATATGTGGAGAAAATCATAGTTTGTTCTTGATTGACTTGATCTCACGTATTTCTCTTAGAACCTGGTCCGACGCAGCCTTGAATGGCAGACCTACTTTTTCGTCGACAACTATACTGTTTCCATGGTCTCTTCCGGTATGCGCCTTCATGTCCTCGAAAGTCTCGAACAATGTCTACTGCTGCCATCTGCTTACACCTCTGCGATTCACACTGGCTTCATCTTTCGCACATACGAAGGCGCGGACCTGGATCCCCCATCCCGTAGTAATGAAGAAGTTTTCCTGTGGGGAGTTACTGCCGTGAATTTGTCCAATAGACTGTCGACCTAGTCGGCGCTAGTGTGACACAGTTGTCCGGCGGCGGTATTGTCTGATTATATCGGTACTCAGCGGAGGGCGGTAGAGTGGTAGAAGTGGTAGAAATTGGCTGCATGTCATAGACGGAATTGCCGACAATGAGCTTATTGCGTCATCAGCTAGAAATAACTTTGACCCGACTGATTCATCGCTTAAATCAGGCCGAGGCTTGGATACACTCTTTGCGTAAAGCTTGTGGATTCCTGTGGATGAAGATATACTTTTCTTGTTATCTTGCCAGACGAACACTCAGTACCGCGAAAGCCTTTATTCTATCGTTGATTAGATGCTGCGCCATGTCCGATATGTACGATATTCAGATGTTCTCTGATACAGCTCGACAGAGACCACCGATTATGGCGTGGTCTCCGGATAGTTCGATTCAAGATCTGAGGTCAATTAATTGCTGGAAGCCTATTCAGATTGTTGTTGAATGTCTATGAGAACAAAGGTCATACACAGATCACAAGATGTTGCAAATGACTTGTTTAATGAGCCGCTTCAGATATCTGCTATCGTGCTGCATAGCTCTTCCAAGGTAATTACCACATTTATGACGTCCAAGAGTCATCTGCAATACTGCACTGCTTGCACTACTAATTTTAGTGTCATTGCAGAAGACGAAACTAGTACATAGTATTCTGGTGCATCCATGACACTTCCATTAACTTAATCAGCATACAAGAAATTGAGTAGGGTGAGATCGTGATTCGGTAAGAACAAACAAAGAGGACTACATAGGAAAGTACGGGATATAGCAGCCTCGATCAGTAGAAAGGTAGAAGCAAAGTTGGCATGTTAAGTAGTTGCTTGACTGATGAGGCATCTAGTTTGGGGAAGCGGTTAAAGGCGTCCCAACAGGCCTACAAGTACACTGTGAGACCAGATCTACTCTGCTCGCTCACAACATCGACACTTACGCATCTCTACAAGCTGTGATGGGGCAGCGAACAGTCTCTTGATCGGAGAACTCAAGCATATAAAAGCCAACTCCATTGATCTAGATGTTAGTCAACTTTCAGGTAGGTCAAACCTGAGGTGGAGATGATGGGACTGACAATTGTGGTGAAGCGGTTTATCCGTTCACCGACGTATATTTTCCCATCAGTATGTTTATATACTTGGATGTCTGACATGAGGATGAGGGAGACGCTGCTCTGACTGGCTCCGTTTGAACGAAGAGGTGAGTAATAAGACGTCCTATGGTGGCATTTATATGTTTTCGGGCAGCATAACAGTCCTCGAAAAGGATCCGAATGACCTCAATTTTTTATAAAATTTTGCAACGGAAGTTTCTAAATAATGGATTTCACACCGGAACCCGTCATAGTGACTCCTGTTCCTTTCAACAATTACGATAACTGAAGAGCCCGAGTCCGAGATAGACTACCACATTGGGCTTGACTATTTCGGGCGCTTCAGTAACCGAACCCTATGATTGGAGGACTAGTTACCAATCGAACGAAGCGGGCTGAGTTATTTAGAGTCCGAGTTCGAATACCGAGTCTACGGCACTCCTACAATCACTATTCTCGGCCATCTCTGAAATTGAGATCTGAAGCAGCGCTTCGTCGGCCTGCAGGCTCAGGGCTCAATATCACATCAACCGAGTACAAGGCGGAGTTTTAATCCGTTACAGGTGCAAAGTTGACTAGTTCCATTCGTGACCATCTTTATTCACCACCTAGCCCATCCACATCATGACGCTGATCGAATGGCCCAAGACATTACACGAATGGCGCGAAAGATGCTGGAAGCCGGAGGGCAGTTGGCCATATGACCTCTGGAAGCGTG